TGGGGAGGACACCGCGGTTTTCCCTGTGTCATGGGTGTGGACCGCCTCCTTCGCCTCTCCCTGCTCTCCTGCGGGTCCGGCAGGGTCCGGCTCTGGCGTCTTCTTCTGGCGGTGCTCCCAGGTTCTTCTGGGCACGGTTGAGTCGTGTCAAGTTCGTGCCACCGTTCGCCAGGTGAGTTTCTGCGGTCTGGCGTCTTTTGGCCGGGCGCTGGATGCGGAGTTGTTTATATACCTGTCTTTATTTAGGTATATTTTTGTACGACTGAGACCGTTCGCACACCAGTGACTGTCCCTTTTTCAACCCTTCCTGTCCCCCTCATGTGCATGTCCAACCCATGCTGGAGTCATTCAGGGGACCCACCTTTTTTAATGTTGTGAGGTGTGGGGGTTGTAGGGTTGGTTCTGTACTCACCTGGTTAGGCTCCTGGCTGTGCTTGCAGGATTTGAGCTCTGGCTCTTGGGTCCCGCCTATCTGGTAGAACTTGCGGGATAGTACCAGTGGAGTGCAGTGGTGCTATTGGCACATTTGGGGAACACTGTATTACCATCAGAGGTCTGTGCTTGGTACACGACCTACTTGCGAGCATAAGCCTTCTTGCTGGTTCGTCCGTGGACTTCCAGGGCACACTAGCCTGTTTTCGTATGGCAGTTTCGGCCCATCCTGGTTGTGGGGGTATGTGGGCCGGTGGACTGCTCCTAGCAGCTGCCTGGTGGGCCACCCTCTGGCCGGTCTAGCCTGGCCTTGGGCCGGGCTTGAGGTGTAAAAGAGCTCCCAGCACCTCATCCAGCAGGTATCGAGCGGGATTTCTCCGCCGTCGGTCGCCTGGTGCAGGTTTCTGGGCCTGCGGGGTTTTGTCGTGTCTCCGTTGGCCCTGTCTGGGGTCTGCCTGCTCCGTTTCTCTGCCTTTGCAGAAGGGAGTTGCTATTTACATGTTGCATGTTGCAGTGGTGCCTGTTGCTGCACGTGTGCATTGGTACTGTGTTTCACGGTGGCGTGTCCTTGTTCCTGTGTCCGGTTGTGGAGTGGCACTTTGCTGCCGTTTTGTGCCTGGGGATTGCATGGGGGTTTTTCTGTCCCCGCCTGATTGTCCACCCCTGGTGTTTCTCCTGGGGTTTTTGTGCTTCTGCTCTTTCTTCCTGCCTCCTCTGCAGCAGGGGTGTTCTGTGTGTGTTCTTAGGCGTTGGTCAGCCTGTGTCCTGTGATGTGCTTCTTTGTCTCGGTCTATTGCAGTTGTTCGTACCCCTTGGTTCGGGTACTGTTCTGGCGGCGACCCTTCCGCCTTCTTTGTTTCCTAGCTTGCCCTGCCGTTTTTTTTTTTTTTTTTTTGGGGGGGTCTTGCGATGTCTCGCGTCGGACCCGTCGTTTCTGAACTCCTGGCGGGCTTGCATGCTTTGGGGAGTTTTTCTGTTCGGCAGACGTTCCATCTCCTTGTGCCGCCTGGGTTTTGGTGGTCGCGCCCGAGATCTTCCCGCGGCTCCGCCTTTTCCTGGGCTCGGAGGGGCCTTGTCGGAGCTGCTTATGTTCTGCCTCGCGGTCTCGCCTCCGGTTGGTGGTCGTGTGGCTTCGTGGTAGGTGTCCCACCTGCGTGCTTCTCTTGGCGGCAATATGGGTATTTTGGCGGTCCTTCCTTTTCCTGTCCCTTCTTAGGTGGTTACTCTTGTTGGCTTGGTTTACTCTCGGTTTGGTTTTCTGGTGGGGATTGGGGGCCGTCGTCTTGCCACATACTGTCACCTCTTTTCGTGCGGTGCGGGCGGAGCTGCTTCAGCTTGCTTTCGGTCTTGGTGTTGCTTCTGCACCGTTAGTCAGCTGTCTTGTGTGTCGTTTCACCTCCGGCCTGTTCGTGCGCCGCTTGCACCATCCTGGTCTCTGGTCAGCGTGCTCTGTCTTCTCCTCGGTTGGTAGTGCTCCTTCGGTTCCGGTGTGTTTTTTCGTCGGCTCTTTCCTTTTGGTCTTTGCCTCTGGGGGTCGAGTCGCTGAGTTTTCTTTCTCCTTCGATTTTAGCGTTTTGGTTGTTCGGTGGCAGCAGTCTCCATCTTTTCTGGCGCGGGGTGGGGCTGCTGCGTTCTGGAGGGGTCCAAGGTTTGTTGGTGTTTCGTTGGTCGGGCCGGGGGTGTGTCGTTTTTTGTGTTCAGTGGCGGCCCTCCACTGTTGTTTGCGTGCCACGACGTTTGGGTCAGGAGCGCGTTTTGCGTTGGTCCGGTTCTGTTCTTCCCGGTTCGCAGGTGATAGTGTCCCGGGTGGTCAGCCGTGTTCTTGCGGCTAAGCTGCCTGTGTTCTTCCCTCATACCTGTGGCGTTCGTGGCTTCGCTGCTCTCGCTGCTGTCTGGGCGACGTGGCCTTGCGGTCTTTCGGGCATGGATTTTTGGTGTTCGTGCAGGGTCCTTGCTGCTCATTGTTCTCGTGTTGTTCCCGGGACTTTTCGGTGCTGTGGCACCTTGGGTTGGCGTTTGCTGCCGGTTGTCTCGCCTCCTTGGGGGGTGAGTGGTGTCCGCCTCCCGGTTCTGTCCCTTTGACCTTTCTTTGTGGGTAGTTAGCTCCGGGGAGCCGACGGGGCTCCCCCCAGAAAACCAGCGTTGAATGTAATGAAACGCCATTTTCTGGGTGAGACCCGGAGGCTTCCCGGCAACCCTCCCTCCCTCCGGTCGGCGGTTTTTCGCGTGTTTTGACATCCAGCCTCAGAACTGATGGGTGGATAGCCGGCGGGGGAGGTCTGGGGCTTCCCCTTCCCCCTCCCGGGGAGGGGGAAGCTGCGCAGACAGCGGCGCAGTGACGTATGACGTCATACTAGTTTCCTTGTTTTCTGTTGAAAAGTTCTATCCACTAGTTCGGCTTTAGGTAGCAATTTTCACCAGAATAGGGGTTTGTTTTGGAATGCTTACCTTTCTGGGTGCTTGACCCGGTCGATGGCAGACATAGAATGCTTCCAACTACACGGGGGTTTCTATAGGCCATTGCTCCCCTTGCCTCTCTGAGGGGGCTAGGTTCTGGCCGTGGTCCCCGGTAGGCCCTAGAACTCCATACACATGACTGATGCCAAAGTCTGACATTAGCATATCAGCCGGTAAAGCTCCGGGGAGCCTCCGGGTCTCACCCAGAAAATGGCGTTTCATTACATTCAACGCTGGTTTTTTGTGAGTTTTGACATCCAGCATCAGTAATGGAGGGTGGATCACCGGCACGGTGGGTCTGGGGCTTCCCCTTTCCCCTCCTGGAGAAGAGGGAGAAGCTGTGCAGACCATGTGGCGCTGCACGTGTGATGTCATGCTCGTTTGCGCTTTTTCACTTGGTGAGTTCTGTCCACTCATTAGTCTATTTTAGTCGTTTTAACTAGAATAAGGGTTTGTTTTGAGGCGCTTACCTTTCTGGGTGCCTGGCTTGGTCAATGGCAGAGATAGAATGCTCCAAATCCCATGTGCATTTCTATAGGCTATTGCTCCTCGTATCTCCTTGACGGGGCGCCCAGGTTCTGGCTCATGGTTCCCGGTAGGCCTAGAACTCCATTCACACTGATACCTGGATAGTCTGGATAGCTCCGTGTCTAGGAGTCTCCGTGTCCTCCAGGGTATTAGCCTGGATAGCTCCAGGGAGCCTCCGGGTCTCACCCAGAAAATGGCATTTCATTATATTCAATGCTGGTTTTTGCCACTATTTGTCTCTTGGTCAATTATCATTCAGCTTTAGTGGTGCCACTATTGCTTGCATTTGTTGTCAACACCTCCGTGGCATCGTTCCACAAGTTGTCTCATGCATTCTTCCACCTCCGGCCTGCTCATGATCACCTCCGGACTAACCCATTTTGGTCCCTCGACCATATTTTGGCTTTTCTCTCCTTGCCTCAGTTTAGGGTTTATCCTTTCTCTCATGAAATTTTTCTTAAAGGATTTTCTAGTTGACACTTGGCTCTGGCTGTTGTGTTGTTGAGCTTCAGGCTCTGCTCCAGAGGCGTGTGTTCTTTTGGCCCCGGTGGGGCGCTTTGTTCTTTTGCACCATCTCCTCCTTTTCCTGCATAGAATGAGTTGGTAGGCTTCCTGAGCCAACAATGTTGTTCCAACAGGAACAACAACAATAATGAGCAACAATGAGTCGGTTGGTTTCGACCATTTAGTGGTCGATGCATTGTTGGTTCAGCCATTGGTGCATCATTTGTTGTATCCTGTGGTGAGTCTTCACAGCTACCTGCATGCCATCAGTTCTGTCTTGGTGGATACCTTATTGGTTAATCCCATTTCCTTGGTTTCCTGTTCCAGTGCTCACAATTCCTAGGTTGTTCGCCATATCATGAAGTCTAGCCACCCAGCTGTCTACCATTAGGCCTATGATGTTCGTAAATAGGTGACTTTGGCTGCTGTCTTCTCTAGTGTATCATGGGCTAATATTCAGTGCTGGGGATTTTGGCATGCTAACAGGGTGCTGACAGCCTGGTACATATTTAGTTAATGTTCCTGGGCCCAGTCAGTTGTGTGTGCCTTTTGGGCTGTGTTGCCTGACCTGTTATCTCTTCTTTGTCGTAAGTGCATGTCATCTGTATGCCTTCCTGGTAAATACTGTACCTTCATGTTCTCTGTGGTTAGATTAGCTTCAAAGAACCACAAGGGGCTCCCTCCAGAAACTCAGTGTTGAATATAATGAAACACCAATTTCTGGAAGAGTACTGGAAGAGCTGCCCTCCAGGTTCAACAGTTTGTCATGGGTGTGTTCATCAGGTCCAGAACTGATTTGGGAAGCCAGCTGGGAGCCAGGGCTGGGCTGCCTGGTGGTGGTAATTGGTACTAATGAGTTGAAGCCCATTTACGTGAATCCATTATATCGTGTCATTCATTTGTGGTAGTTGTTTAACGATTTTCTAGGCTTCATTTCTGTGAACCCTCCAGTTGTCTGTAGAGGTGTAATGACTTTCTGGAGTCTTTTTCTGGTAAGATGAAGAATTGTCACCATGTCTCACAGTGTGTCTCATCTTATAGTTAGTCTTTTATCATTAATATCATAATTCTTATTGCAGACTTCCTGCAGAATTTTGTCGGACAGATCCAATGGTTTTGCAGACAATACGCCTCCTGCAGTATCAAAGACAAGTGGCACAACTTATAAATAGAGCACAGGTAAGATACTTTCTTTTTATGTAGTTAAGTTTATAAGTTTGTGCATTAGAACGTTGAACAACAAGGGGCTGAGGACCCCTCCTTGTGGAGTTCCCAGTTCAAAGTGTTTACTCTCTGTGCTTTTAACACCATTAAACAAAACAGTGAGGAACCAACACCACAAACCATGAAATACAGTATACTCATGTCCTATGTTAACGGATTAATTAATTTTTCATCCAACTGTGCTAATCCAGAAGTTGGAAACATGTATCAGTACCTGAGGCGAACCAAAGAGCTGATTATTAACCCCTTAACTGCGCTGCCTCCAAATATGACCCCCCCCCCCCAGTGCGCAGGAAAAATTCTCTTGAAAAAATTCTTTTGTTTTTTAAAGTGTCAAAAGCCCTTCCCTCAGTATGGGTATGTCAAAAAAAAATCAAAATTGTGCTTACTTTGGCTGCTATGAGGTCCGTAAGTTGGCGCGTGACGTCATCATTCCCCGTTCGCCTGTGACGTACGCTCCCGGCGCGGGGCGCGCGAGTTGCCGCGAATATATTTTTGTTCATTTTTTGCGTGCACTTCCAAATACATTTTATTTGTTTTTACGTGCTAATCCTGTGTATAATGAACACGTACACTATATTATGGCAGTAAAACAGCCGCATTGTCCGAGGACACTGTGTTACGTGCATGACACTTGTGCACACATGTTGCACATATTTACCATGTATCATGCTAATTTATGTATATATATACAATCTATTTACACACTATACACTGCCACACACTAAGTACGTTCACCATCAACACATTCAGGTCACCCGAGTGTGAGCTGTCACACCCAGCCAGCCTTCCCACACTCCTCCAACATTGTATTCGCCAACATTGCTCCTCCCATCATACAGTTATTCATACTAATGTTTCATGTTCATTTATGTATATTTGCAACATATGTACACACTATACACTGTCACACACTATATACATTCACCATCAACACATCCAGAACACCACGAGTGTGAGCAGCCACACCCAGCCAGCCCTCCCTCACTCCAACATCTTACTCCACCCACCATACTGTTGTTGTTTTTATTACACTATTTACACATGTTATATATACAGTGGCACCTCGATTAACGGGCGGCTTTATCTACGAACATTTCGAGTAATGTGCGATCCACTCGCACGTTACTCGCAGCAAATTTGTCTCTATTGACGAGCTCCACCTCTATTAACAAGCAAAACCACATGGTGCTTCCTAGCGTCTCGCGGGTTCTCGCAAATTCTCGGACGCCTCCGACGCCAGTGTTGTTGTTGTATCGCACACGACAAGCATCCCTCTGCATTTATTTGTCCTTTTCTTTTTTTTTGTGGTTTTGTGACTATAATTTGTAACGCACAATGTCGCCAAAGAAGCTGCATGCTGAAGATAGTGTTGTCAAGATGAAGAAAGGCACAATTACTGTGGATTTGAAGAAAGAAATTATAGCAAAGCATGAGCGTGGTGTTTGTGTGACTGATCTCACAAGGGAGTATGGCAGGGCCTCATCAACAATTTGCACCATTAGTAAGGGGATGAGGAGGTAAGGGAGGATGCTGCCTCTTCCACTGAGTTCAGGGAAGTGTTGGGAATGTTTGAAAAGGTGAACGCATTCTTGGAAAAGCTGCCTTGATAAAGCAGTGACCACCCGGTGTGTGAACATGTTTAATGACAATTTGCTGTCTTGTTTTAGGAACATCCTAAAACAAAGACAAAAGCAATTGTCAATAGATATGTTCTTTGCAAAAGTAGAGAAAAGAAGAGTCGGTGATAGTGAACCACAACCCGGTCCCAGTGGAGTGAAATTTCCTAGATGAGAGAGCCCGCCTGATTCAGATGTGGATTCTCATTCCACACCATAACCCCTCTCATCCTTCCCACCTCCCTATCGTCTCCCTCAAGACAGCAATGACTCTTCATAAGGTAAAGTTAACATGAAAACAGTTCAACAAAACATTTATAATTGCATGTGCAGTATTATATTTACATTATAAAATGTCAAACAAGTATGGATGTTTCTGGGGGGATCCCCATCGGCTCCCTGGAGCTTTACCAGGCTGATATGCTAATGTCAGACTTTGGCATCAGTCATGTGTATGGAGTTCTAGGGCCTACCGGGGACCATGGCCAGAACCTGGCCCCCTCAGAGAGGCAAGGGGAGCAATGGCCTATAGAAACCCCTGTGTGGTTGGAAGCATCCTATGTCTGCCATCGACTGGGGTCAAGCATCCAGAAAAGTAAGCATTCCAAAACAAACCCCTATTCTGGTGAAAATTGCTACCAAAAGCCGAATTAGTGGATAGAACTCCCCAACAGAAAACAAGCAAACTAGTATGACGTCACACGTCACCGCGCCACTGTCTGCGCAGCTCCCCCCTCCCCAGGAGGGGGAGTGCCTAGGGTTCCCTTCCCTGGGTGCCCTGTAAGTATTGCCCTTGGGGCTTGGGGGCCACCTTCCACAAATTCCTTGGGTTCTGCCCCTGCTAGGCCATTTACTGCTTGGTTTTCGGCCACCCTTTGTGTGCTCAGGTGTTCTGTCTGCCATGTTTGCCTTAGGGTAAGGGGCAGTTTTGCACTGGTGGGGCGCAGGGTGCTGTGCAGCCTGTTTTCACCTATATGGCAGCCGGCTTTGTTCCTCTTGGGTACGCTGTCCTCTTGCGGGGTTTTATTTTTATTTTTGTTTATCTACCTGGTGGGGGGTCTGCCTTCGTTCTTGCCCCCTGTGTCCCTTGTATTCTGACTATTATTCCGGTGGTTCCCCCTGCTAGGTCCCTGTGAGTGTACACGTCCCGGGGGTTCAGCTCTTAGAAAGTTGTTTGGTAGCTTTGGGCGCCGGTTAGCAGTACCCTGCCTGGGATTACCTAAGCGCGAGTCCTATTATAGTAAACGCTTGGGACCCTGGGAAACCCCTGGGGGCGCGCGGATCCGATGGATGTGACCCCGGAGTCCCCCATCGCTTCCAGCGAGTTTGAGGGTTGCACTCACCCTTTGTCTCAGGGTGACTCTCTGTTTTGCCTCCGCCTGCTGCCTGTGGGGTCGGTGGCACCTTCGACCTGGAGTCCTGCGAGTTTTGTTGCTTGTTGTGGCTCGGTTACCCAGTTGTGTACTGACTAAGCGGGTGCAGGCAGCAGGGGCATTGCACATTGAGCCTTGGTGGTGGCAACATTCTCGTTTGTTTACTCCCTGGGAGTCCCGGGGCTGCCCCGTTTTGGTTCGTGTTGGGACTTTGGGGGTGTTGGTTGCTTCGGTTCCTTCCACGCCCCCTTGTTTTTTCCCAGGATCCCCCCTTCCTGCCTTCATCCGGTTCCTTACCGTCTGTAGGTTCGGGGCGGGGTTCGATGGTTTTGAGACTCGGGCAGTCTCGGGGAATTCCTCTTCCGGGGTAGTGACGGGGGTATTCGAGCCTGTTCCTCCAGCCGAGTTTTAAGAGTCGGCCAGTGGGCTCCCTTCCTTAGTATTGTGCGGCTGGCCCGGTTTTTTGGTACGGCCGGGGCTTTGTGGGGACGGCTCGGCCTCGGGGCTTGTTGTGTGGGTTCCCGGGGCTGGGGAGGGGCTGACTTGGGTCCTACTGGGTCCTAGGCCCAGTAGGACCCCGCGGGTTTTTTTTTTCTTTTCCCTTTAGGCGGGGCTTGCGGTTACGCGGAGTGGGGTTTTCCTCCCCCCTCGCTGTACAAGTTGTTGGGCGTCGGCCCCTCCCCGGGCTCGGTTCCTTGTCCTTTGAAATGGTTGATTCCGTCCTGTAGGTGGGTACTCTTCTCTGTTGCTCCCCCCCTGCCTTTTTTGGGACGGGTTATCTTCGTCATGTTTCCTCATTCTTGGGGTTCTATGTGACTTTTGGTCTCGGGTGCGACTGTGCCTTTGTGTGCCTTCGGGACTGGTGTTTGCTTCTGTGTTCTCAAGAGTTAGGGAAGGTTTTCGCTACTTCCTGTATTATTGGAACGTCTGTTGGCTCCTAGTACGGGTCGCCGTATTGGGCTACTTGTAACCCAGTTGGGCTACTCGTGGCTCGGTTAGGTTCCCATTGGGCTCCGTCTTCGCTTCGTTGGCCGGTTATGTTGTTGCTGCTTCCTCTTTTGGCTCCTGTCCCATGTGATGGGTTTGTTTTTCTACTTAGCGGTTCCCTAGGGTTGCATTCTGTTTGGCTACTTTTCTTGTGCAGTAGTCCTGGTTGGCACCTTCCTGCAGAGCGGGTTGTGTGGTTCGGCCAGTGTGTCCTGCGTTTGCGCCGTGGGAGTTTGTTTTGGTCTGGGCGGTGTGTTTCAGTGCTGGTGTTTTCCGCCCTTTTTTCTCGGGTGCTTCGCCTCTCACTCTTCTCCCTTCTCCGGTATGCGCCCCGTCGCTCCAGGGGTGTCCTGGATTACAGCTGTAGGGAGGACGCCGAGGTTTTCCCTGTGTCATGGGTGTGGGCCTCCTCCTTTGCCTCTACCCTGCTCTCCTGTGTGTACGGCTCTGGCTTCTTCACCTGGCAGTGCTCCCAAGATCTTCTTGGCACTGTTGGGTCATGTCACATTCGTTCCTCCATTCGACAGGTGAGTTTCTGCAGTCTGGCGTCTTTCGGCCTGGCACTGGATGCGGAGATGTTTATATGCCTGTCTTTATTTAGGTATATTTATGTACGAATGAGACCGTTGGCACACCGATGACTGTCCCTTTTTCAACCCTTCCAGTCCCACTCATAGGCATGTCCAACTCATGCTAGAGTCATTCAGGGGGCCCACCTCTTCGTGTTATGAGGTGTGTGGGTTGTGGTGCTGGTTATGTACTCACCTGGTAGGGCTCACCTGGTTATGCTTGCAGGGTTTGAGCTCTGGCTCTTGGGTCCCGCCTATATGGAAGAACATGCGGGATAGTACCAGTGGAGTGCAGTGGTGCCATAGGCACAATCGGGGAACACTGTATAAACATCAAAGGTCTGCGGTTCTTAAAGTCCTACCTGCGGGCATATGCCATATTGCCGGTACATCCGTGGACTTCAAAA